AAAAAAAAATAATTTTTTGATATTTTTTTCAATGTTCAAATCTACATTTAAAAAAATCTGTTTTCCCGTAAGCCTTATGTAGTAGCTGTAATCAGAGGTGTCATCTACCACTACTGTAAACATGTATCTGAGTGGAAATATTTATTTGGGGGACAAGCTTTATAAGTATAATTTAGTTCGTTCTGCTAATTTTATGCTTACTACCAAAATTGGATTGTTACCCGTGTCGCGTATCCCCTCTTGAAAGATCTAATTTGAAATTACCCGAATAAAGCAATGATCAATTGTACAGCTATGCGAGTGAGCCCATTGCTTGATTTCACCGCTGTCATACTCTTCACCAAATGTCCGATCAGGGCAACCACAATCGTCGTCATCTGTAGCAAAAGTAAAATAGCTTAGTTAAAATAGTAAAATAGAACCGTAGGATTTGGACTTCCCGTAATGGGCGTTGATATGCGAGGATAACGTAGCTGCGATGAAGAAGCACTTTGTCCATGAAAGAGATTGAAACAGTGTCATGCTCATCGGCCGCGTGACAGAAGCGCGAGCAGAAGTCTCAGAGCCGATGAACTGATGTGTCGTTTCATTGTTTTTGTTGGATTTGCGATAAGGTGTAATAGAAACATTAAACAGCCTCCTAAGGAATCCGGACTGATCAACACGGACCAATTGAAAACAAATGATTAATATCCCCTCCCTACTTCAATAGTGTCCACAACTCCATAAATGGATCCACGTCATCTCTCTTTTTCTATCCTCAACTGAGCCACAACCATGGCTTGGCCACTAACACTGCACCAAATATAAGTATTTTTACCTATCATAGCTAACTTAGAGAAAATAAAGAATTTCGGTGATCCAAGGGAGATTCGATTCGAGGTTTGATCATCGGGGCGGGCATGAGTTGGGGCGGCATCCGGTTGCCTTTGCCTACTCTCCATTGATTATTTTTGTAGCTCATATAGTCTCTTTTCAGAAGTTCGGCTTCTTAACCATTCAATCAGTCTTTGCAATTAATACCAAGGCTTTTTTTCGGTTGTTCGTTGATCTAGAGATAGAAATTTAACTTGTCCGATCGTATTTTGTCGGCTGCGTGACATAGTGTGTTTACCGAAATATTCGAAACTCTTTATTCTATGTTTATGCGAAGAAAATTCATTCACGTAGAACTTGAGTCCTTTTACTTCAAATTTTACGAAAGGAAACTCAAGGAATCGTATACGAAACGGTAAAAGAGGTTGTGGGTCAATTCTTACAGTTGGTAAGCTAAGACTTCATGATAAAAGTGAAAAACCCGGATTTAAGATCTTCAAGTTCGAAATCTACGAACATAATTATACCGAAAGTCATGAATAGGAAGTAATTTGAGAAAAAAAAAA